TATATATATATATATAAATAAATTACTATTTTTTTAAAGTAGAACTGAAGCCAATATTTTTTTCTAGTTTTAGATAAGAGTAAGGGAGGGGTAGAATCCTGGTCAACTTTTTTGCAATCTGTGTCCCAAAGGGGGGATTTTCCTTCACTTCCTGACTGATGGTCACAACAGGAAGTGGAGGAAATCCCTCCAAAGTGAGGGAAATTCCTGGTGGTCATCAGGGCTACCAGAACTAGTGTCCCCATTCGAAGTATTCCCATCAATTCCTGTTCTGGTGACAACCCACAATTTGGGATTTTCTTTCACTTTTAGTAATAACAGTCACCAGGACAAACAGAGGGCTAATCTCCCTAACGGGACACAAAAAACTAAAACCTGAGAGGTGTTCTAATCCCCTCCACTCTATCCAAAACTAAAAAAGGTTTTGGCTTCAGTTGCACTTTAAATGTGCTTTGATATCAGAATCTGTACGCAGCACTCGGAATAGGAAAGGGCGGATATTTGAGCCAATAAGGCTCATTGGTTTGATTGTGCTGCCAGTCTCACCATATGAATACACATGGATGACCTCACCAGTGTGCTGCTGCTAGTCAGAGGCTGGGATGGATCTCGTCCCCGGCTGTATGCAACAATAACTAATTGCTTAATAAGTAATGTACATGCATAGAAACTCACCACACTGCAGCTACTAGGAAAGTTACAATTGCGACTGGTACAAGTCCTGGGTACTTGGCATCATAATCACAAATCCCACTAAACCATTCCAGATAAACAATGCAATAGAGTGCAATAGACATGCTGACAACCAGAGACACTGCACCAACTAGAAGCCAGGAACTGCAAGACAAACAATTTCTATTCAATTACCGGTAAATGAAAATAATACATAGAAAGAGATGAAGTCATAAATCTAATTTCCAAATATCTTATTACAGAGTGAGACCATGGTATTATGTGCAAGTAAAGCTGGCCATACACATAACATCGATTGATTCCCCCATCCACCCTAAACAGAGAAGATGGACGAATCTCCTTTCAGCTTTTGTATTCTGACAGCTGCACTCGAATAGTGATGGCATCTGACTGGCTGCAAGTCACTGTTCAGCCAACTTGTTTCTGCCCGGCTCCATGGATTGTTCCTTTGAAGTTTGTTGAGCCAAGTGAAGATGACAAGGCTACACAGTGAATCAGCCGAACTTCAAGCCGTGTATGGCCAATTTTAGGCCTTCTTCAAAAGCTACTACTGAAGTCAGATAATGTTCTACTACAAAGCTCTTTACTTTGGGGAACTGGAACGGAGAGGCTAAAATGACCTTTATATTGGTATTATAGCCTTGTAACCAAAAGCAAAACAAAAGATTTAAAAGGAGAATTATGGGGAGAATGAAATAAACTCAATCTCATAATTAGACCTGATGTGCGACACTGAAGCTGTCACATGTCAGCTCTATTGATTAAGAACTGAGCAAATCACATACCACCGATCGCTCAGTTCCCGATCTTCTACCTGCAGACAGCTGTGACCGTCAGTCATGGCTCCCCACAAAGATTCCCCCTCCCCTCTCCGTTTCTCCGGTGCTCATTGGAGGGACAGATGGGGAGAGGGCAGCCACAGCTGGCTCTGCTTCTAGAGAGGCAGTGCCAGCTGTCAATCTGGTAGCGGGGTGGATCCTGACAATACTGACATTAACATTGGGGGGAGGGTAAATATTTTTTGACTTTAATGTCACTTTAATGCATACATTCATTTTTGTGACCAAACACCATATGGACAGACAACCATGAGGTTGAGTATAGTGCTTTATACATTTAACATCTTACCAGCCTTCTTGTAAGTTGCCTTGGACAACTGGTAGGAAGTCAACATAGTGTGTCACAGCAACTGCTGCCAATATCCAAAACACCGAATGGAGGTTTATTCTAGGGAGAGGCTTTTGCTTTTTTTTTTCATCGTCATCGATATCTAAAAAATAAATAATAATTAGAATCTTCAGATATAAAAACAAGAACTGCGGGGCAACCCAATGGCATCCCCAAGGTGCTAAATCCAGAATTAGACTTCTAAGAAACTCTTGTGCGGCATTGATCTTACGAACATGCTAAAAACCAGCCGAAAATTGTACAATTCTCGGCTGGTTTTCTAGCATGCTCCTTAGACAAAAGACGTGCGACCGTACAGTAGAAACGGTCGCACGTCTTCATTCACACTGCACGATTCTCGTACGATCGCGGGATTTCCCGCGATTCTCTACGAGAATCGTGCAGTGTATGGGCACCTTATTTCCAGTCTTCCAGGACAGTAGGTGACAGAAACAAGAAACGTATCACCAAAAACACTTTGAAAGGAAGTCCTTCTGCCAAACTGGTCGGCAGTACATGAACAAAGAACCGAACAAAGCATACACAAGAGGAAAAGAACAGAACAAGGGTGGAATCCTGGAAGTAGAGTTATTCTTGATGTCTCAAATCATCTTCCAGGATAACACATGAGAGGATTAGCAACAATTTAACAGATTGGGGAGGGACAAAAGCCTGGAAAATTCTCCTCCCAAAGGACTGACCATGAATATTACAGATGGCCACATATACATGAACCTCTTAACACTATGATACAAAAACAAAGGCAGAAGACCTACACTAAACATGGCCAAAATACACCTAAAAATGCACCGAGCCACCTCTGACTAACTTTCTACAAAGTTATCAAGGACTGACTTAACAAAGAAATATTTTAATAATAAGACCAAACCATGGTGAGGATTTGGTCGGTTAAGGACGTACACAAGTCCCATAGCCTGTGCTACACAATGAAAATGGTAATTAAGGAATATAATGAGCCATTTATTTGGCTCTGGCATTACCTATACCCATGAGACATTTCTGCTAAAAAGTATATAGAAGTAAGTATGTCGAATTCCTGCATATCTACTGAACAAAAAAGTATTTATGAAGTCTTTATAGCCTCATCAGAACATACAATGTGCTGACTTAGGTCTGAGCTGTGGTGGAGGCAGACATCCATACCACCATACAGTGTAATAGCACAAAGAAAAGAATGGTCTCCTGCAGAAGCACAACACAGTGACCACTTCCAACTCACATCACTGTAAATCAATGTCACAAACTCTGTGCTTGTACCATAAAAAAATGATTGTTCCCTCCACTGTGCAGGCATAGCAGCCTACATACTCCAAATTTGTGCCATGGTGGAGCAGCTTTTAAGACAAGCCAATGTACAACTTCAGCAACTGAAAAGGACGTTCCAATAGAGAACATCACTACAGTGCTTCAGAAAATGATAGGCAATACCAAAATCCCTTTGAAATTGGTCACCATTCCGGCATCTGTGGACTACAGTGGAATTAATGTGCATTAAGTCATCTGTGCTAGTAGCAGTGATTAGTAGTAGTAGTAGAAATCAACTTGTAGTTAGACCAGACATTTTGAGGCCTGTACTGAATACAGTATTACAAAACAAAGGACATGCACAAGATTATAGTCTAAGCAAACTAATTATGACATTCATAAAAACTTCCTGGGCAACCAGAAAGCCAGGCCGCAAGTAATGACCAACCTCCCAGTTTCCTGAATGGCCGGGAAGCCGGCTCCGTGCTGATTGGCTAGAAATCCATCTTCCTAGCCATTTAACATCGAGCCGCCCGTTAGGCCGGCTCCATGCTCCCCTATGGCACTGCCGGTCAGAGGAAATCTTCCTCTGACCGGAAGTTCTGGTATCGGGGAAGGTATGGGAGCATTTGGGCGAGTACGAATACACGCCCAAATACTCGGTATCGGTGCATCCCTACAAATAAAATACATTTTTGGTAATAGTTGGGGTACTTGAATGCATTTTTAAGCTTTAACTCCAAGGTTTAGTGTCACTTTAACATTAGAAAATTGACACAAGGGTATCTTGGCATTCACACACATGTACTCTTTAGGATTGGCAGAGGGCCTAAAACTTCACAACAGCCCATGCTTGCCACCAGCAGAGAAAACAACATGAAACATGACCCCTGAGGTACACCCCCCGCCCCCCACCACCACCACACATAACGGTGCATGCCAAGGGTGAAATAATACAGCCAACCATGGTGCTAGGACACCTGACGTCCACGAACGCCATATCACAGACAGGCCACAAAGATAACTCTGAGGGGGAAGAAATGTAGTGACCATAGACTACACACTGAGGCAGCAAGGAGTCAAGTCAGTGAACAAGAATCAACAAGAGTCTCACTATCAAGGAATGAGAGGAAAAGGGGACTGGGTGAAGGACTGCAGACATGAATCCAGAGCTGAGCCTCCTTCCACCAGGTTCTAAACAATGCGTCTCATCCAGACGGACTACACAAGACTTCCACGACTTGGCAAAGTGTTGTTGGTGATGCGTTTCTTGTTTCTGTTGGAGGAGGTGCCCATCTCTCATGTGTTGTCCTGGAAGATGATTTGGAAAATGCAACTTATCCGTTTCAGTTTCAAAGAACAATGAGCAGCCAGCGCAGTGGGCGCTGAGGAGAGACGCTATTACAGGAAGACGTCCATAACAATGGTTCTCCCAGGAAAGTGGAACAACAGATACGATAAAGCTATGAGATGCCTCCACATGAACAGATACAGGAAATGGTCTACAAATTCTGGAGAAAGCAAAAAAAAGAGTCAAATGAACCAGAGAAGGGCCAAAAATGACCCTCCATCAAAGCTTAGTGACAGGGTAAGAAGGACATTAGTCAGAGAAGTTACAGAGAGGTCACCGATAACTCTCTAGTAGCTGCAGCTATCCAAAACCATGCATGGGACAGATAAACCTGAGCGGAGCACAAAGACAAGCGCTTTTGTGGGACTTTGGCGCATATCCCCATTGCGTCCCTGGATGTGTGCCAACCGCGCAAAAGAATTACACATTGCACATTTGGCAACATGCATTCCATGTTTTTCCCCCCATGTGAACACATCCAGGTTTGCTCAGCCACGTTTGGGGTGCCTTTAACTAGTAATGGCAACGCAGGTGTGTTCCCCATTTGTGCATGTATTGTGAATGTGCGTTAAAGCACACGTGTTTGACACGCATTCACAATACTCCCTGGTGTGAATGGTGCCTTAGGTGGAATATTCTATCATGAAAAGCACACTGATGACAGGTACAATTGCAACAACTTCCCTATCCCCAACCATTCCGGAACTGACACTGTGTGGAACATGAGCCTAACTCTCAGCTGTCCCAGCACCAAGGCAGGCCGAGTCATGGAGAGAGGGTACACACCGGCCTCTGTCACCCTCAGGAAGGACTCGGCCTGCTGCTCAAACCGACGCCGCACATTCTGCATGTCCCGATCATCCAACAAGGACGCCATGGTGGAGAGTGAGTTCCCCGGAAGTGACGTAGGAAGAGCCCGGCGTTGGTCACCATGGAAACCGGACGCTGAGCGGAGAGGTCCGCCCTGCGCACGGGAATCAGTGCAAAGTTCATGGAGGGCACTGGGGGAGTGATCGGAGCGTCAACATTCAATACTAATACACTGGCAGCTGTCTGGGAGTGGGACTTCCGAGGACGTGAACATACAGTAAACCACAATATTATTAACTATCTACATAACTGGACGTGCAGAGATATGTTTTATGATTGATGTGTTTAACAGGAAATCATCAAAACACATCTTACAGTCATAGTCCACCTTTTGCAAAAAACAATAAATGCAGCAGCCATGATAAATTTATAAACTATGAGGGGAACTGATCAAACTTGGAGCAGAGAAAATCTGCAGCAGCTGTGCATGGCAACCAATCAGCTTCCCACCTTTCATTTTCAAATCTTTACTGAACAAACTGAAGAGAGAAGCTGATTGGTTGTGATGCACAGCTGCTCCAGGTTTGATAAATTCCCCCCTATGGGTTTTTTTACATTATTGCAATGAAGCTTGCAGAGCATTGCAACTGTGATCAGTGTTTCTGGGTGCAATTCATAGTCTCCTGCATTGTTTACATCACAATCCGGGGCTGGAAGTTAAAAAGGATGGACTACAGGTGTGGTGATGTCACCAAATTTGTGCCCCATTGCAATCTGTGAGTCCTTCTGCCACAGAGGCATATGGAACTTGTAGTCACAGATCATCCATTTACAGATGCAACTGTTAGGGCTTGTTCACACCGAATGATGTGCGTTCCAAAGCGGTAGCTGCTGGAACGCACCGCAATCCTTCACAAAACTCCCCCCCACCCGCATTGCGATCAGACGTGTGCCCCAAAACTTTGCCTGCGCTCCATTCCAATGCAAACGCATAGCTCTCCTTTAATGAAAGAACTGGATGTGTCCTCATCTTGCTGTAGTATGGGTCAATGTTTATGGAAAAAATGTTACATCTATTTTTTGACTGTGCCCAGCAGGACCCTATCATCCATACTATAGCTCCCCTTTCTCCAGTGGTAATGTTAAAGTGACACTAAAACGCTAGTTTGTGTCCTCCTGTTACCCTAAGGAGAACTATGGGGAAAAACACTGACCCCATAGTTCTCCTTTAACACCTCTCTCTGGGCAGTTTAATAACACCTCCTAGACTCCAATCATGTAAATGCCCCAAAACCTGGTTGTGACTAACAGATTATGTGGATTGGAGCGACATTCACCATATTTATTCCAAGATAATTTTTCTACAAGTCATTCTGAATTGAGAAAGCTGGTTGGATGACCAGTGAAACGTCTTCAAGAAAAATACAGCAAGTCCAGTTGCCTTGACTTATTTTTTACAGATATTACTGAGAGAGAACAGTAATACAGTTGTTGTGCAGGACTATATATTAAGGTTTATAATCTGCATATAAGAATAATACATATGGCTGCTCACATGTACATAAACTGTATATTTACAAAGGATGCAATGAAAAATAGGATTTTTTGCACTACGGTAGTTCATTGGAGAACACAGGACTCTATTCATCAATGTCTACCCTGTTTCCCCGTAAATAAGACCTAGTACTATTTTTGTGAATTGCTAAAATATAAGACCTACCCCGAAAATAAGACCTAGTTGTGACCATTCCCTGGGCCGGTGGTGGCATAAGGGGGAACTTGAAAAGCCGCGGGAGAGAATCAGCGGTCCCAACTAAGCTAGCGCTAGTGGAAACAAGGCGGCACCGGAGGGAGCAGAGCCGCATAAGCCGATGCTTCCTCTATAGCGCCGCCTCCTGTCACAGGCAGAGTGATACCAAATGCACTCCGCCTGTGAGGAATCAATGGTGAAAGTGTGTTTCGCTCATTCTAGCCAGCGATTGGTTAGCAAATTGCTCTTGGAAAGGTACGGCACCCCTGATTGCCCAGATCACCATATTTTTGTACATGAATACATGTAGACTGTAGACTGTACATGAAAAAGTGTGGATTGTACATAAAAAAAATAAGACCTAGTGTGTTTTTTTGAACCCCCAAAAAACTATAAGACAGTGTCTTATTTTCGGGTAAACACGGTACGTATAGTTCTCATCTCTAGGAGGTTTGGACACAATCCAAATCAAAAAAGAGGTACAGCCGTCTAGTGGTTACACCTGCATACAAGCTCAGTAGTAGTGAAGCCGTGAGTAAAATAAAAGGATAAACCACCTTTTTGTAGCACAATATTTGAACTGTAGTAACAGTATAAGAACCCATCATATGGGAGGAAACTCTCACCTCCAATGACCTACTGGAGAAACATTCATTGGAGAACAAAGGACTCCGTTCATAAACATGTTGGACATCCAAAACCAGTCCCCAGATTTGAGGGGCAGACAAGGACACCTACAAAAAAGGGGACAAACATTTCCTAGTAGCGCTCAAAAAAATGTTTTACTACTGCTGGTACCTCTGTATGGGCTGAAGAGCCTGCAGGAGCCAGAGCATTGAACCCGCGATCCACTGATCACCGTTACAATGCTTTGAAAATTAACAATTTTTTTTTGTTAATGTGTGTGCAAGTATTTTTTATTTTTTTGCAAAAGCTGGACTATGCCTTTAACCACTTCAAGACCAGGTGTTTAGACCCCCTTCCTGGCCAGGCCATTTTCCAGTGTTCAGCGCTGCAGTACTTTGACTGACATTTATTCCGTCATGCAACGCTGTACTGAAATGAATTTTATACCATTTTTTGGGGACAGATAGAGCTTTATCATTTCCTGCGCCCGCAAGGGGGTGTGTCTAAGCGGACGTCTAGAGACGCCCGCTCAGATCTAGAGAGCTCCTGGCCGGCTGTTTTTCTACTACGGCCGGCCCAGAGGCAGTTAAAGATGCAGCAAGTAGGACTTTTTCTCAGACACCTGCAGTGCCCCTAAAACATGCAGATTTAAATGGGACCTGACATTTTTTGTCAGGCTTACCAGCATTGACAGGAAAGATGCATTCGATGCCGTAAAACAACTGAACTTCAATGCATGTGTAATTGGACTGTAATTGGAGTGTAATTTAAGAGGTAGAAAAGTATAGAGAAGTGATGTGAGGTTTTGGGGTTATACTCTCCCTTCTTAAAACCTGGAGGAGGGCAAGAGGAGATTCCCCTACAACACGGATGCCCATTAGGTAGATCGTGATCTACCAGTAGCTCTCAAAGCTGATGCTGGTAGATCACGAAGGGTGTGAATGGTGGCCCCTTTATTCCATTTTGGTATATTTATTTAGCTGTGAACACATGATTACCTATTAGCCTGAGTCTGCTGAGCCAAGCTCCCTGACACATTTCTGGTGGATACTGGGGGTTGAAGTGCTATGTATTACATCAAAGAATATTAGTTTACACAGCCTGTTGGACTACACTGTTTGCAAAATACAGCAAGGTGAGCCAGGAGAGAGAGCGGGGAGAGACAGCCAGGAGAGAGAGAGCAAGGAGAGAGAGCAAGGAGAGACAACCAGGAAAGAGAGAGAGAGAGGAGAGACAGCCAGGAAAGAGAGAGAGAGGAGAGACAGCCAAGAGTGTTAAGAGAGACAGCCAGCAGAGAAAATGAGCAATGACAGCCAGGAGAGAGAGAGTGAGGAAAGACAGCCAGGAGAGAGAGTGAGGAAAGACAGCCAGGAGAGAGAGGCAAGAAAGCCAGGAGGATGAGCAAGGAGAGACAGCTAAGAGAGAGAGAGAGCAAGGAGAGACAGCCAGGAGAGAGAGTGAGGGAGGGTTTTTTTCATTGGTAGATCTCATGTAGCTCGTCCTTTGAAAAGTAGATCTTAACACAAAAAATTGTGGGCACCCCTGCCCTATAACATCACATTACTTTTGAATAACTCGCTGCCATTTCAATAGGAGTCCTGCTTTAGTTTCTTTACATTGGAGTTCGGTTGTCTTATGTCATGTCACTGAAACCTCACGTGCCCCAACCTTCACAAATATATTTCTTACTTGGTAGAAAGATAAAGTTGTATTTTCAGATCTATATAAAATTTACCTTCACAATTTTATTGTGGTTAAGATGTATTGGTAATGGTTTCATCCTATGGGTCCTAGAGAATTTGAAACTTAATTTGTGGCAAGGCCAAACAACACTTCAAATTACATTCAAACAACATCCTTCAATTTCTTCATCAAGACAATTTTTAAAGATTAAGAAAGATGTCTATAAACTAAATGGTTTTGTAAACCAAAGATAAAAAGTATTTGGTGACAATAGAAAACCCATCCAAATTAATTAAAAGGGGATCCCTCCCCCTTTAGATTGTAAGCCCTCATGGGCAGGGCCCTCCTTACCACCTTGTCTTGAATTATATTGTAATTGTAATGTCTTCCTTATATTGCAAAGCGCTGCACAAACTGTTGGTGCTATATAAATCCTGTACAATAATAATAAACCCATTGGGAAAATTGTTCAGCACTAAAAGAACACTCCTAATTAAATAGGGAATTCAAGAAAGGAAGCAGTCTTCCTATTAGGAGATTTCCAGAGAGAAGATGGACTACAATCTCATGCTTAGTTTACTAATCTGTATTGAGATTGTAGTCCATCACAGGAGCGGTGGCTACTTTACAACACACACAGGGACCATGGGGGACAAAAGTGTCCACCCTCCAGAAGGAAGGACAGTGTCAGGGTATTTGAGCTTCTACAGCTGAGTGATACACAAATAAGATAAATTTTTGTTAATAGTTAAGGTACATGAATGCATTTTTAAGATTTATTTCCTGAGTTTAGCGTCACTTTAACATTACCACAGGAGAAAGGGGAGCTATAGTATGGATGATAGGGTCCTGCTGGGCACAGTCAAAAAATAGATGTAACATTTTTCCATAAACATTGACCCATACTACAGCAAGATGAGGACACATCCAGTTCTTTCATTAAAGGAGAGCTATGGGGTAAGTGTTTTTCCCCATAGTTCTCTTAAGGGTCACAGAAGGACATATACTCACCTCCTCCC